ATTATCAGAAAACTACAGGAAAATATTGAAGAATTGGAGCAACAAGGTTAGAAATCATATTTTTCATGTATTTTTTCAGTGTTATGTCATCCATTCCTCACTAAGTTTGTTTTAAAAATTTTTCGTTGGATCTTGGACATTTCCCGTGGGATAAATCCTTGAATAACGTTCAGAGAGGCTTCTTTGAATGATTAGTGTTCAAGGGTGATGGCAGACGTTTTTGTGGAACCATGTTGAAGGTAGCGCTTGCGTCTCTCCTTCTTTTGGGATCGATCGCGATAGTGAGAAAACAATTCATCAACTGAGCTGGCTGCAAAAACCCTAAAAATGATCTTTCTTCTATACTGTCGTGAAAGAAACAAAATCCTCAGCATTTAGAAGCGTTGTAAATGCTGTGCTTCCCTCTTTTGATGCCTCTGTTTAAAATGGGCAGTAAGATAATTTTTGCGTATTTAAGCTGCCCACCTCAGACCTAAATTGCCTTGATCAGTACCTAAACTCTCCGGATTAACGGGTCAGTTAAATAGCACTTTAAGTGCTACTCAAGCCGAGCAATGTTGCGATGAATTTTCTCAGCTGTACAGAAGCATGTGAAGAAATTCTCTAGCCTTCCTCCCATTTTAGACGCTTCTTTGCGCTATGTTGTTTGTAATGACCGAAATTGCTGATCAATGAATCGATTATTGGAAGAATCCAGTATTTCAGTGCAACATTTGGATTCGTTCATCAGTAGATTGACAGAAAGTGAGCAACATCGCGAACAGTTCAATGAGGTGTGTCTCTGATCTAGTCTTCAATTTGGGCGTCTTTTGTTGATCTCGTGATTCAATTAGACCATCTTCACCTGTGTATATCTGTCTGGATTCAAATAGCCTGCTAATGCCAGGATTTTTCAGTTGGCTCACAAAGCCCAAAGATTGTCAAAGGAGACGAATCAGTTAATGAAACAACTTGTTCAGCTTAGCAATAATAATGTGAGGCTTTTGTGTTGAGATATTCTCATATTTTCATTTCCAAGGTCTATTCGTTACCCTTTGAGTCTTCCGATTTTTTTTTGAATTTTCGTTTTTTAGCGGAGTTTACGAATTCACCGAGAACGCCTGCAGAATGAGTATATAGGAGTTTTAAATAGGCTGCAAGGCTGTCAGCGTCGAGCTGCTCAAACGGAAAAGGCTAGCATGCGTCAGGTAGGGATATTTTTAAATGAAATCATACGTTTTCTTCTTTATGAAAACATGCTCTATCGCAGTAACGAAACCTGAAAGACCAGTATTTTGACGCTGCCTTCCATGCTTCACTCTTCTTGTAGGTCTCCAATACTGTTCCTCCCTGAGTTTTCAACAACGGGTTAGAGCCTCCCCTTTCGCCTCACGTCTGCAGTGTGATGACTTTGGATTTAGGTGACATCGAGAGCTTGACGTCTTCATAAAAAATATTTTTTTGGAAAGATCTCATTGACGAT